ACCACACACTCCGCCTTCTCCTTTCCCCCACCTCCTGGGATCCACCTCCCGGGACCCTGACAGTGCTGGGCTTAGAGTGAGGCTGTGTTTGTGCGGTGACACAGGTGAGCTTGGGGTTTGGGGATTACTGGCTCTGTAGGCAATTGATTGGATCTACATCTAAATCTCGTTGTTCTGTCTCCTCAGATGATACTAAGAAAGTCACATCATTTCTCAAATATCAAATGCTTTAAAATACCAGTCATGTGCTCACCCTGGTTAGAGAGGATTTTCAGGTCTGTTCCAGTTAGCCTGCTTTTATTCCATGGGCAGGACCAGTGAGTTAGATTTCCATGGCAGAGCATCGAGCAAAGAAACAAGAGATCTTCTCATTCCAGTCTTACAAAAAGATGTCTGTTGAAGTGAACACAGTGGTTAGCTGGTTGTTAGGGTTATTTTCTTATTGTTGCTGTACATTCGTATATTTGGAGATATTTTGTATTTACTTCTCACAGCCCAATTTTGCTATAAGGCATATGTGGAAATTAGCTCACTAAATGACACTAGTCTGGCCTGAAAAAATAATAATAAACAAATAGTGCATTTTTAAAAATTTAGAGTATGAGCCACTATACTCCTACCATACTTGAAGTGTGATGGGAAATGCTATAAGCCTGAAAACAATGTGAATAAATAAACAGAAGTATATAAAGAAGCAAACTTTTAGGCTCCTATGAAGAAAAGCTCCAGCCTCTCTGCCAGTATGAGATAGAACACGTCCTCACCAGCCAGTGATGGCACCTGCTGAGGTTTCCTCAGCTGGGGGACAAGCAGTCCCCTTTACAATGTCCAATCCCACTCTGTCTCCAGGGGAGGATTCTGTCTACCAGACAAGTGGCCAGACGAGTGTTCCCATCACCATGGGTGCCCTCGGAGGACAAGGAGCCTCCACCCACCTCTCTCTTCAGGAGCCACAGAGGCCTGCAGGAAAGCAAGAGAATGAGCCCATAGCTTATATCACCATAGCTTATATCATGACGTAGAAAGTTCTGAAAAGTGTAATTATCTCAGAGAAAATACATTTTGGTATTAAATAACTTTGAGTTAAGTGCTATGAATTTAAGCAGAATACACACCTAACATTCCTGAGACTGACCTGAATGTGTTATGTCGACCTCAAACAAGAATGTCTTCACTCAGAGCATTTGTATTTGGCTCTATTCTCATAAAAACCCAAAAGGCAGCTCATTGTGAAATGAATCTGAGACTCCAGATCAGCCCTTTCCAGTAGGAATATAATCTGAGCCACAAAGTTACATATGTAATATCACGTTTTCCTGCAAATATTAAATGCAATAAAAATAAACAGATGGAATTAATTTTGATACTATATTTATCTAACCCATAATATCATATCAATAGGTAGTCACCATACATTTATTAATGAGATATTTTACGGTCTCTTTTTGTACCATTGTGAAATCTGGTGTGTATTTACATGTATGGTTCATCTCAGCTTAAAGGGACCACGTTTAGCACCAAGGAGACCACACGGCTAGTGTCTGCCATATCGGACAGCAAAGCTGTAGGTGATCTGGGTAACGAGAAACCCTATATTACATTCTCCCCAGGATTTTTGTTCTGTCTAGGTAATGATGATTTTATTTTTTTAAGAAGTGACCTCTAATTGCACTGAGGACTTAGTGTGGTGTTATGAGCATAGGCTGAGGACTTAGATTGCTGGGGTTCAAACTGGTCTACTATTCACAAATTAGTGATGTTGGGCCAATTAGTTAGCATCTCTGTGCCTCATTTTTTTTTTTGTCTTCTGTGCAAGCGGTGTTAGGATGCACCTACCTTGCAGTGAGGATTAAGTGAAACAATGCGTGCTCATTACCTAGCACATAGCAGGTCTCTATTTTTAGGTTATTATGAATATAACTTCTCTTTCTCCAGAAATGAATGATAGCACATCAGAAAATGAGTCAAATAGATATATCTAATGATAAATCCTTTAAAAATGATATCTGTCTGGGGAAGGCTGCAGAGAGGGACAAGTAAATACTCTAGCATGAGCTGTGTGTCCCGCAGAGAGTCCTTGAAGGCATGCCTCGAGTCCCTATGTCACTGTACTTACTATCCAGTGTGTTACGTTCCAAGGGTGAAATTGTAGAGTTGGCCAGTTTATTAGTTTCAGTTGCGTTGCTATTATTATTTCCATAGAAAGCTTATTGCTTCTCTTCCGTTTAAAAGTGATGCTATCGATGCAGAAATAACTATGGTCTTATGTGTTTAAAGACTATGAAATAATTATTAACTAGAATATTTACGTAAATTTAAAGACCAAGTTCCCTAACTTACTGATGATTCTAGCTTAGCTGCAGAGCTGAGAAGGAGCCTTAAGAATTACCAAGTCCACCATCCTCATTTTATAAATGAGACGCTCACCTTGTGCTTTTGAAATTCTGTCATTTTTCAACCCACAGTCATTAGATTATTTATATTTTTTAGATAAACTTACAAAAAGATTGGGACTGGCCTATGTTAGTTAATGGTTCTTTAAATCACTTAGTTTTGAGCATTTGGATAAACGTTAAGTTGGCTATTCTGCATTAGAGCCAGGATGCTGGATACATGGGGTTTAACAAAAAGTGTAAAACATGGGGGCTGAATAGCTTAGATTCTAGTCAATTTTTTCCAACATTTTAAAGTCCAATATTCTGTTTTGATAAACGTAAAATCATGTAAACTTCTTTAGACTTACTGAATTTTTAAAAAGAAAAATGACTGGCTAAAACCAAATCAAAGCAAGGGCAACTTTAGATGAAATAAGTGTGCACGTGTGTGCACTTCAGCTTGCTGTGTTGGTGTCACCTTTTCCAAGATGGCCTTGCCCAAGTGCAGGGAACCATTTAGGGCTACTTAAAATCATTAGAGCATTTACTTCTGACTCACAATAGGCAAGCATACTCTAACCCAAGTAGAAACTAGATTTACTGTCATTTTCAGTTACAAAGTAAGATCCCAAGGCCTGAAATTCTCATAAGTATCTTCTAATGGGTTCTTTGTTTTATTTTTCCCATTTATAAGAAATCATCAGAAACTTTATAACTGCATTACTTCCTTTAAAAGTATGCATATATTTCATTTGATTTTGAATGATCTAAAATGGTCTCCGCATTTTAATAACAATGATATTGTCTTAGAAGAGTCATCTATTCTATCTGCAAAAGAGAATGTTTCTGCTTGTGAGCCAAAGCATGTTCACAATTGCTAAAAGTTTTCTCATAAAAGAATGAAGAGCTCAGGATAGATGTATCAGAGGGTGTGAGACTGTAGGGCAGCCTGGAGATGTAGAAGGAAGTCCAGGGTCAGAGTCGGTCTGGAGTCCTAGCTGTGCGTCTCAGTGAGTTTCTTTAGCATCTTGAGCAGACATAAGAAGACAACAATGTTTCCTACCTCTGAGGAGCAAATGAGATAGTGGGCCCCCAGCATCGAATATAGCATCTGGATTCTTGTTTGTCAGTTATTTTATTGAAGTACAGTTGATTTACAACATTGTGTTAATTTCTGCTGTGCAGCAAAGTGATTCCGTTATACACATATATACATTCTGTTTCTATTACGGTTCATCACAGGATATTGAATATAGTTCTCTGTGCTGTACGGTAGGACCTTGTTGTTTATCCATGCTACAGATAATAGTTTGCATCTGCTAATGCCAGACTCCCAGTCCATCCCTCCCCCACCCACTTCCCCCCTGGCAACCACAAACCTGTTCTCTATGTCTGTGGGTCTGTTTCTGTTTCGTAGATAAGTTTATTTGTATCATTTTTTTAGATTCCAGTGATATCATATGATATTTGTCTTTCTCTGTCTGAGTTTCTTCACTTAATATGATAATCTCTAGGTCCATCCATGTTGCTGCAAATGGCATTACTTTGTTCTTTTTTATGGCTGAGTAATGTTCGTATATATACACACCACATCTACTTTATCCATTCATCTGTCGATGGACATTTAGGTTGATTCCATGTCCTGGCTATTGTAAGTAGTGCTGCTACGAACATTGGGGTGAGTGTGTCTTTTCAAAGTAGAGCTTTGTCCAGATACATGCCCAGGAGTGGGGCTGCTGGATCAACATCTGGCTTCTGAGTTGGACATTCCCTAGTGGGAGCCGTTTTCTGTGCTTTTCTTTATGTGAAGATTCTTAGTCTTCTCGCCACCCTCACATACAATAGGAAGTGTGATCTGGGCAGGCGTGTGAGGACCCAGAGAAGGAGGGCATTCCAGGTAGAGTTAAAAGATTCATGCAGAGTTGAATGCGTAGAATTTCATGTTTCATGTTTCCTCCCACAGAACTGCTAAAATTGGAATGAATAAGGTTGGTGGTTAGAAAAAATTGAATTCATGTTCCACAGGAATTTTTTCCCTTTTCTTCAATCACCCCATTTTCCAGGTAAACTTAGAAAATAGGAAATACCAGAAACTTCCTGTCTTCCTCATCTCATCTTTCTTTACTTTTATTATTTTTAAAGGTTTAAATTATTTCCATGTAGCATGAGTCCTGATATGGCCTTGGGTGAGCGATCTGATTGTGAGATCCTCACCTGACCCTGCGTGCGCTGCCGTATTTAAATCTCGGGCACCTGCCCTGCAGCCCAGAACCTTCTGCTGGTGACTGATTCCCACCTGACAGGCGGGCAGTGTCCTGGCATCTGAGTTCATCTCTGACTCATCTGTCTTTGTTGGTGGTCTTAGTGGGGAGGCCAGAGACCTCAGGACTGACTCAAATTTCACACACCTGACCTTGTTCCTTAATTTTTACTAAAGAACAGACTTCTATTTCAAAAGCGCCACCCCTTTGAGGACATACTGTAGGGCTGTGTAGTTCCAGGACTACTTGAGCGCAAATGCGTGTGTGCACAGCTTCGGTTGATTCAAGAGGAACAGCTTATGCATAGGGAAACCATCCAGTCTCGGTGTCACTAACCACGTCTCCTGTCCTCTCTCATGTACAGAAGCTCACGCGGAGGCCGAGGCCGAGGTGCATGCAGCTGCTGCCCGGACATTTGTCTGACCCACGTTGACATCTGCAGTGTCACAGACTGTGGTAGGTTAACACAACTGGGGTTGTACTTTTGTTAGGACTGTAAAGAGTGTTACCCAAAAACAACTAGAACTTGGAATGCAGTGATGCCTGGTGTCAAATTAGGCAACTGAGAAAGTATTTCTTATTGGTTTTGGTGTTTAGATGTTTCAGTTTTACTTTTTTGTTTAGTTGATTAAATATGCACATGTTTAACTGGTATATCAGCTATGACTTTTTCTGATATCTTTACACTGATGAGAGCATTGTGTGCAATCCAAATATTTCAGAAACGAATCAAATCAAACCACATGGACATTAACTAAACAGCATATTTATATATCTACATAGTGTTTTTAATTTCTTCATTTTCCATCCCTGTTATTCACATGGTGTCTTATAGATTACAGGCTACTTCTACTCAGATTCTTAAAGGGTCTTCACAACCACTCTACAAACTAATTGGTGGGGCGTGCTGAGTGAGCCTACGCCCATAACCCATCGTCCTGGCACCCACTTTGTCTTTCAGATGAGCGTGACACAGACTCAGAATTAGAGGGGCAAAGGTGACTTTTTGTGAAATGTTATTCTTTCGTAAAATTCCTCTTTACTATTGACGTATACATGGAGAGGCAAATTGTTAATGAGAATGGTTAGCATGCGTTCTGTGCCTGCTTTGTGTTGGGCCACGGTGCAAACTTCCAACTTATCTTTTTGAATCCTTGCTGTACCCTTGAAAAGGAAATACCATCACCCCCTTGTACCATGAGGACCCCGGGCTGAGGGAGGTGGACCACCGGCCCGGATCACACTGATTTCAGAGAATCCACCAGCGTTTCAGCTCACAGTTTCATTTTCCCGGGCTGGCACGTCCTAGGAGGTCATTTGTATCCCTTTCGAAATCTCTCTTGAGACGTAATTTCATTCATTTTCAGCTCTATTAATGGGGAGCTTTACCTTGACCAGAGCATGTGGGTGACCTCTGCCCTGTCCTGTGAGCTTGAAGCACACACAGGACTTTTCCGGGCCTCTACTTTCTCTTCTGACCATGAGTGGGCGAGTTGGGCCATGCGACTCTCACAAATTAGATTCAGTCCCTGTCAGGGCTGTGAGAAACGAACCAATACTCTCTATATACCAAACAGTTTTTAGTTGTTCAAAAATTATACATTTTTTCAAAACATTTTCGCTTTACTCTCCCTCACTTTTTTGTGGTACCGTCATCGGGATCCTATCTTCTAAGTATTGTCACTCCCACTAATACTGAGCTGCTGGAGAAAGAGGCTTTTCAACTTGAGTTTTCTTTACCTAATTAGTAATGCCCAATGTAGAAAAATTAGAATATTAGAATGCATATATATATATATAATTAAAAAGTTAAAACACTGAAAATACCAGAATTCAGAGATAACTACAATTAATCTTTTGGTTTAAAACCTTTGCAATTGTTATCTTTGCACATGATTTTAAATTAAGATGGATCATACCGTACATTTTGTTCTTTCCTCCTTTTTTACTTGATGTGTCACACGTAGCTTTTTCTATATCAATAAATATATTTTCATAACATCATTTTTTCTTGATCAATAGTATTCCACTTCACACCTATGCTGAAATATATGTCTGTTGTAATATTGTCAGTTGGCTTTTTAAAATTCTGCTTTGCAAAAAGAGTTTTAATGGCCAACATTTTACCTAAAATTTTTACACCATTAATTATTCCTTTAGCATAAATTCATAGTACAATAGCTAGCTCAAAGGATATGTACATTTTTAGGCTTTTGAGAAGCACAGTGCTTTCAAAATGCTCCTTCTTTCCACATCTTGCTCTATGACTGTGTATCCTCTGTGACTCTAAATATAGCTAACCATCGGTGTTTGAATGCCATTCCATAGACAACTTTTATGAACTTGACTTTAAGAAAAAGTACTCTCACATTATGAGATTTAAAAGGCTAAAATTTTATTTCTCTGTGTATTCCGAATTCCCAAGAACTCAGTTCCAGATCCTACCCTTTCATTCTCCTGTTCTTTGACGCGTCATACGAAGTACCCACTGTGTGTAAGATGTAAGGGAGGCACAGCTGATTCATAGGTGGATGGGCAGGGCTCTGCTTGAGGATCTCACCCGTTAGTAATAGAATCCAGACTCACAGTGGGTGCAGACATATGGCATGAAGAGCCCAATAACAAACTTGCTTTAAAATATAATCTCATTATTAGCCATTCCAATATAGTAACTGAGACTATTCTTAATGCCTCACCCTGAGTATTTCTAGGTCCACAACCATTAGAGAGAGGTTGTACCATGTTCATTATACTGTTCTGAAGAGTGTACTGAAAAACTAGTTTCCCCTCCCCACCAGTCCCTGGAAAGGAGCTTTTTTACTGCCTACTTGGCTATTTCTAGGGTAGACTACTACTGGGCTTCCCTGGTGGCGCAGTGGTTGAGAGTCCGCCTGCCGATGCAGAGGACACGGGTTCGTGCCCCGGTCCGGGAAGATCCCACATGCCGTGGAGCGGCTGGGCCCATGAGCCATGGTCGCTGAGCCTGCGCGTCCAGAGCCTGTGCTCCGCAATGGGAGAGGCCACGACAGTGAGAGGTCTGCATACCGCAAAAAAAAAAAAAAATAGGATAGACTACTACCTAGCAAGGTGGTCCGTGCCATTGTTGGGCTGTGTTAATGGTTGGAATATTATTCATAATATTCTTGAGGTGAAATTACCATTTTATATTAGGTACCTATTCCCAGTTTTAGCTTCTGGAGAGATATAGAGTAAGTTCAATTCAATTCAAGGGACATATTTTAAGAATCTGCTATGGTCAGGAACTGTTACAGCTGTGAAGGGCCAATTTCTATTTCATATGATAATATTTCAAATGTCTGATGATTTATATTTTCCTAAATATACCCTATTCAAGGTAATTGAAGTGTTACTATGCTGAGCTTGCTATAAATTTCTATAAAGCAATAAATTTTGACCTCATTCCTTGACCACACTCATGGGCTAGTTGGAGAGCTTCCCCCAACTGACCATGAGGAGAGCAACACACCCCGACCTTCATACAGATTACCGAAGGGTTTGTTAAAAAGGAAAAAAGCCATTTGCCCTAAACTACTAGTAACTGAGACATGAGGACCCTTGCTGTGGTGTGTACACTTGGTACAAAAGATAAGACTGAAGTGAAATGGGGAAAACCGGGGGCTTCTGTCCTACACCGGCCACCTCCAGCAGGCCCAGCTTCCTTGGGTCATGGCCACTTTACCCACAAGGTGAAGGACATCGTAATCCCCTTGGGGACTCGGACTCCAAAACCACAGGGCAGCTTCCCACACCTGGGAAGCTCCGATGCCTCTCAGGCTGTGGGCCTGTTTTCTGGAAGATTCCCCTCACACCGGCTGCGTGCCTGTGGAACCATCGTGGACACTTCCGAGGTGTGACCGTGTCCTGCAAGGCTGATGACTCTTGAGGCAGGAAGTATTACCATCCACGTTTCAAAGGGGAGAAAGCAGAAGGGGAGGTGATGTAAGGTGTTCAGGATCAGATAGACGGGGTGGGGCCTGGGCTGAAGGCGCACCACACGGCGGGCTCGGGAGAGACGTCACTGCTCCAAACTCTGACCCCCAAAGACCTCCTCGACCACCTGGTTATGTTAGAGATAAATGCCTACATGCAAGGCAGCTTCGATATGCATAAGTGTAGAAACCACAAAAACCGATCTGCAAACATCTGAGTTGTACAGTTCAGATGTGTAAATGATCTTTAACCAGTGTTTTTATGGTTGTTTCACTAAAATGACCCAATTTGATACCATATAATATCATTATTACATGCTTAAAGTACTCTTCATATGAAGAGAACCTTCTTAGAAAATTCATACTTTGTATTTTAGTCCATGAATGTGTTTAGTTGTTCATGAATATTTTATTACTTTTTAAGTTTTCTGACTAATTATATTATTTTTTCCCCTTTTCTGATACTTCTTTTTACTACTTCTTATATCTTATCTCTTTCAAATTCCATAGAATTTTACCACATCGAAGCCTTTGTTTCATTCACCTCTTATCCCATCTTTGACTTTATGCTGTGAGCTTGTCACTGCCTCTTTAATAAGTAAATCATATAAGTACAGCCTTGTTACAACAGCTTCTGAATAGAAGTAAGTCAAGGGAAAGATGTGTCCGGTGTCTGCCTATTTGATAATATAAATTAGAAACTCTCATAAACTAGATAAGCAAAAGAGAAAGACGTGATGAAGGCTTTCTCTTAGCTTGAAACTAACCATCCAACAAACTTGGAGGATAATTGAACCCACGGGAAAAGCAGCCCACGGAGCAAGTACTGGCGGAAGATGGAAGGACACTCTTGTTTCCTTCCTCCTCCTTTTCCTCCTTCCCTCCTTTCTTCTCCCCCTTCTTTCCTCCCTCCCTTTCTTCCTTCCTTTCTTTTCTTTCCTTCTTCTCTCCTTCCTCCTCTCTCCACCTCTCTCTTTATCTCTCTCTTTCTGCCTCTTTTATGTTGAGTGGCTCAATCATGACGATAGTATATGATTTTTGCTACGTACCAGGCATTATTTTCCTCCACCCTTGAGACTATATTCCCACTCAGGAGTAGCCCTGAAACTCAGGAAGTCAATACCTTTAACCCCTGTAACACCCCAAACCATAGAACAAAGGGAGTTTTGTCACCTGTGCCCAGACCAGGAACCCACGGAGGGTCCTGAAGTGTCACAACGGTCAAGATACGCAGAAGCGTTAAATGACTAGAGAGGCCTGCAAAGGATGATTCACTGAGGAGACGCCTTCTTTAATCCTCACAACCATGTCTGAGTGGCTGTCGCAGAGGACTGCTGATCCCGAGCCACATGCCCGGCTGACACCCAGTCACAGTGACTCGGGGTGAAGTGGGAGGGGACTAAGAGGGGCCTGGAGGCTGCGCCCTGGTGAGTGGCCAGCACAGCCCCGAGCCTCCCCAAGCTGGGCGAGGGAGAGTCAGGGTGGACGAGAGCAGGCCCAGGGGAC